CCCCAGATGTGTAAAACCCCCAAAATGCAACCTCCACAAGCCCAAAATTCCCACAAACACAACCCCCAGATGTGTCAAGCCCCCAAAATTCAACCACAAGTGCAGAGAGCCCACAAATGCAACCCCCAGCTGCCTAAAACCCTAAAAATGCCACCCCCGGGGTGCTAAAGCCACACAAATGCACCCCCCAGATGTGGATAAACCCCCAAAAGGCACCTCCCACAAGTGCAGAAATCCCCCAGATCCAACCCAAACGAAGGCACGGCCCCAAAATGCAGCTGCCAAAAGTGCAAAACCCCCTCCCCAAATCCAACCTCAACACATCCAACTGCTTTTCCCAGCAAAAGCAAAACCCCCAAAGGAATTCACCTGGAAAAATTTGGTGTTGGGCCACAAGTGTTTGCCCAGTTCCACAACTGGAATCCAAAACAGTTGGGAAAAGGTGCATAAAATACCTTATTAATTAATTTAGAGTCATTTTTCTGCATCCTTCAGAAGATATCCACGATGAGAGGATATCAAATGCTGCTTTATTTGTCTCCTGTTCCTGGGGAGGTGTCCTGGAAGGCTCTTCACACCAGGATTTGCTGAGCAAGTCGAGCACCAAGCAGGGTGATTTTCAGCTTTCCTGTTGGTTGTATCATGGCAAACAACACATCCAAACAGAAAAGATTCAATTTCCTTCCATGGCTGATAGTTGTGGTTTATTTTCCAGCCAGAGTCTGGCTGGGATGCAGGAACTGACATGCTTGATGTCATATATCCAACATTTTTATCATTAAAAGTGGATTAATTCACCTCTCTGACCTATTAAATCTCAAAGGATCCACATGAGGTGTTTTAAAATGACCATTTGTGATGCAACAACTCCCCGTGCTCCCACAACCATTTTGGGGCTTCCTAAAGCAACAAGCCCAGCTCCTGCCTCTTCTTTATCCCCCACCCAAACATCTCCAGCAACAATCAGCCCTGGGAAGGATCTTTCAAGCCCATTAAGGTGAATTTGAAAGGCTGCTGAGAAAAAAAAAGAGACTTTTTCCAACCGCCTCAAACGCCTCCGAGCTCAAAACATTTCTCAGGATCAAGGCAACGTGTCGTGGTTTAAGGTCCATCCTTGGCCCCCTCTCCCCAAAAATATTCCTTTGAGCAGATTTCTGCAACTCCTTCGACCTCAAAATCCCCCTCAATATGGTTTTATGCTTCATAAAATATGCATGAAGTCGTTCTGGTGACTCCGAGCCAAACCGCTGATTTTAGTGAGACCTGGATCCCTCCTCCCTGAAATGAGATGGTTGGAATGAAACCATTCAAGGTAAATAATTAATCTCCTTTTCCTTAGATATCATTCAGCCAGAGCAAATTATTTTTAAAGTCTGTTTTAAAAAAAAAAAGTCCCATTAAAATGCTCCTAAATCAAGCTCTTGGAATGGTTTTATACGTAGACAAGAGGGAGAAGTTGCCACCAAAGGCTGAGCCACCTCTGGCACCCAGGATCCCTTTCCCAGCTGGATTTAGAGCTTGGAATCCACCTTGGGCTCTTCCTCTTCAAACACAGAGTGCACCACGACTAGGTGATTTATTTCTCAGCCTTTTTTTTGGCAAGCTCCTGCAGCTCTCAGCAGAAGGGAGATTGTCCCCCAGCTCCCTTTGATCCATGCTCATCAGCTGCACGTAGAATTCAGGAACATCTCTGCTGTTCAAATCTCTTCACATCTTTATTTCCTTCCTCCTCCTCCTCCTCTTTCCCATAACATAAAAAGCTCCTTTCACACTTTATCAAAGTCCCTCCGTTGGTACCAGCTAAAAAAAGGAACCAAATTTAGAGGAACTCTTCCAGGAAAGCAGAAGAATTTGGAAAATAAGTGATTCAAAGCTAAAACCCATCTTCATTTACATCCCCAGAAGTCGTTAAATGGGACCAGACCAAGGCCTTTTATTGGCTGTCAGAGGAAATAATCTTAGGTGTATTTAAATCCAAAGGGATTTTGGTCCCTGGGAATTCACAACAGGCAAGAAAAAATGAAAAATTAGGTCATTTATGGTTCAAATTTTTCTGTCCTTGCTGGCACAACTTCCTGTGGTTCAAAAGCTTGGTGCAGGCAAGATCTCCTCAATTCTGGCATGGAACACAAACCTTCCTGAGGGCTGGATGAAGCCAAATGATCCCATGCTGGTCCATGCTCCAAGGAAAATCCCTGAGCTACGAACACATTTGGTTTCTGGGTGTCCAAAACTGTCACTTAGGGATTTATTCCAACTTTTAAGTGTTTCAGTATCTTTTTTTTCTCAAAACCAGCTCTAACTGTGCTTGCCACTCCCTCTAGTTTGCAACAGTTCTCTGCGTGCCATGCAGGAGAACTAACCAGGAGCCCAAAAACCCCCCTGGGATTTCTCAGTGCTACCCAACCCCACCCCACACCCCACCACCACTCTTTTCACTTCTTCATGGGGATTTCTATGGTCATAAAATCCTCAGCTAGTGTCACTTCTTGGCCCCCTAACACCAGCTCTGCCTGTCTCTTCAGCTCAGCGACGTCCTCATCTCCCTCCCCTCTCTGAGCAGCGGGTTTATACCTCTGGCTGAAGTGAGTCAAGACCAGTTTCTTGACTCGACAGCCTTTTGCAAACTCTGATGCCATTTTGGGAGTGCTGTGGCCGTGCTCTCTGGCCTTCTCCTCTTGGCTGTCATCCAGGGTGGCTTCGTGGATCAGCAGATCTGCTCCCCAGCAGAGCGCGGCCGCCGCCTCTCCCACCACCCCCGAGCAATCCCCCAAAATGCAGATTTTTCTCCCAGGAATAGGGGTTTCCAAGACATCAGAAGGAGAAATTGTCACTCCATTGTCTAGAACAACTGTGCTTCCGTTCTTCAGCTTCCCATATAAAGGACCTGGTGGAACTCCTGGGAAATGGAAGGCAAAAGAGGCTCTAAGTGTTATATCAGCTTTAAACCAACAAAAATCACCTCAGATTAGATATATTGGGGATAGAGAGAGTTGTCTCGCTGAGAAAGGGGAGGTGGACTGAGAACTGGCTGAAGGACAGAGCTCAGAGGGTTGTGATCCGCAGCCCAGGGGC